ATATATATAACGTATGGGGAGGAGGAGATGGAGAAAATAGAGATCGAATCGAAATAATAGGAAAGCACAAAAGCTTACGAGATAAAATTAGAGTGGGGAAGGCGATTGGCCAAAAATTGATGCCCACTCTGGCACAGGACGTTTAGATGACTGGTGGCGTTTAGATGATTCGAGACGATGTCTTGAAGCTGGTTCTCGTTTTCACTGCCTCGATCGATAACAGCCTCGAAACGGTGGTCGTGATGAGGAAAAGATTCCAAGCGAGAACACCGAGCAAGCAGACGCAAATTAGTGACAATATTGAGCTATCTTGTCCCACGATACTTGACATTTGCATAGTAGACGGGTTATTGGATTGGTAGCACGCGATCACGATCACGAAAATTTCTCCATAATTTCATTCAGCCTAAACGTATCGTTTTACACGTCCTTTCGAATTTATTTTTAATTCTACGATTACGATTAATTTTCACCTAGAAATTTTACACCTCGCGCGTGTAAATTATATATTATAAAATACCTACGAAAGATTTAGGTTATCCAAAGATGTGAATTTTGCAAGTTGATTGCACTTGTTTTCGCCCCACCGTCGAATTTTTGCAACTTGGATGCAACTCCCCTCTTTTCCACCAAACGAACGGGAAACGTATTGAAATTGGCATCGGAAATTTTGCCCGATTATTCGTTCGATAACGTCGTTTCCACAACACTACGAAATTTACTTAATTTTACAACCTGCCCTACTATTTCAAAATAATCGAAGAAATTCGTTCGAAATGCGCCGTTGTTGTACAACGTTGTCTCGTTGAAAAAGTGATTATAAAAAGAAAATTTTTAAACGATCGAGGATTTTCACTGGTTTTCAATTATTTTAACTCGTTTTACGTTTTCAGCAAAGGAGATGGCGCGATAGAGAATCGAATCGTTCTAATCGCGAATACATCGAAAACAAACGAGAAGGAAGACGAATTTTTCGAACACGTTCGATAAATTATAAGATACAATTTTATGCAAATATTTTTGCTCGGATATTAAACGACCGCGTCTTTAGAATTGCAAATGCGCCATGTTAATATTTATGTATTTATGGATCGTGGAATTTAATACGACGCGATTTCGCGTCAGATACGATCGGATACGATTATCAGCGACCATGTATATTATTATACACACGATTCAATGTCGCCAAGTTCGAGGTCGCGAATCTTTGCGCGAATAATTATCCTTTCGTTCTCGATCTCTTAAATTATATTCCTATAACTTGATCGAAAAAAAACGAACGTTCTCGAAAAAAAGAACTATATCATTTTCGTTATGATTCGAGTCGAATCGATCAGACACGTCCCCTTTTCCTTTTTTTCCCCCATGGATGACCACCGATATCGAGCACTGGTTTTTCACCATTTCCTATCCCCGAGTGGCGTGTATCGAGTATCCGGCTCACCCTTTAATCCGCACGCATCGCACGTACACGTTGACGTTGACGGTTGGAGGACGTTGTCGAGCGTCAAACGCATGCCCGCGTTCCGGAGGACTCTCTAATGGAGTGTCCTGCCAGCTCGAGTGGATCCGTTGCATATCATTTACCTTTACGCGGTTAAACACACTCGGCATAACGCCGCCTGTGCCAATCTCTTTCGAGGAGCGGATCCTGAGTCGGATCGGCCAAACTTCGTCCCCACCACCCTCTATAATAAATATATCTCTGAATTTCCATCCAACAACAGACCGTGCAACCGTGGAGATCTGAATCGACCAATGCTTTTTCGTCGACCAGCGATGAAAATTGAAAATAAAATCTTTCGAAACCGCATCGAGTTAAACGACGAGAGGAAACTGCTGCGGCGAAAACACGATCAAACTCGACTCGACGGGAAGAGGATCTACGTACGATCTGGATCTACTTATCGCGACCACGAGCAACGATTTTCCGTTCGAATTACGTTAGGCAAGGATTGGAAGAAAGAGAGGGCGCCGTCACAAACCGTTTCCTTCGACCAGTCGAAAAGTTGTGGAAGAAAGGAGAGGCCGAGGTATTGCTCCAGTTTCTCTTAGGAGCTCTTAGCGAGTCGTACGAAAAGTTTCATGCGTACGAATGCATACTCTGGATGGCAAGGCGTTTCAAATTGTCGCTCGTTTGAAATTGAGATGCTTCTCGAGAGAGAGAAAGAGAATGAAGAAGAAGAGAGAAGAAAATTTCTAGAAACGTGCGATGTAAAAGAAGAAGACAACAAGCCTTAGCCTAATTAGCCTGAACGAGACGAGAACACGATTTTTTTTCTTCCTTTTTTTTTTTATCTCGCACAACGAGAGGATCGAAAGAGGACGAAACCGAAATAAAACGGAAGGAGAGAGTAAAGTATCGGCCTGATTATTGGAATAACGCGATCTCTTATCTTACAGGCGGCATTGGGATAATAATAGTTAAAAAAAAAAAATAAATAAAAAATAAAAAGGGGGAAATATTAGCCCGAGCATTACCAGAGCAACGTGATTTCTGTCTTACAGGCGGCGCCGAGACAGACGCGGTACACGCGATCTTGGCCAGATATCTTCAGAGGCGTCTTCAGGGGTCTCAGCTGTCGACGCCTCCGCCGCCAGCGGTCCTCTTCAGTAGCCGTAACCAGGCCAGAGTGAGGCAAGGTCAGAGGACGAGCGGCAATGCGTTGCCGAGGAATGTGAGCGAGAAAGAGAGGAGGGGAGGGATGGAGGATTACGAGGATTACGAGGACGACCTTGAGGGCTTCGAGGACAGTGAGAGGAGCAGGACCAGATTCGATTTGTTCGCCGGTAAATCCTTGAGCCTGGCTCGAGCCACATTCCATATTTCGTATTTTTATCGCTTCGCTCGTTTTCTTATTTCGGGAGGCGAGTCTTATTTCGAGATGGAGAGGCAAAATTTGAAAGATTTTGAAGATGAAGCGGACAAGTTTCGATCGATTGTAATCGCCGAAATAGAAAGTAGCGCTTGGTTAATAACCATGCATTAACACTTGCGCGAGAAGAAGAAGAAACTTGGCTTCTATTTTAGAATTACGCGTAGAATCTAAAATAGAAAGTTTACGTTAGAAAGCCTTTGATTTTTTGTTATTCAAAATTATTCCACTCCTCTCTGTGTATCCTACTTCGAGACGAAATAGAAAACGAACGTTAAGAGGAATAATAATCGCGACAAACGTCTACTTTTCCCACTTTTGTCTCGTAGTTATCGTATTCGATTCGTCCGTTTCGATATTGCACAGCCGCGTGATAACTCTTGTGCAATTAGCACGTTTAATCCGTTATTATCCCGTTATTTAGCCACCCATTTCTGTTATTACACGTAAAATACAAGGATGGACGGATTATCGAGCGTGCGTAACCGTGCAACCAGGATAATCGAATAAAACGAGGGCTAATCGGGACAATCGAAGATAACGCTGTCCAGACATCCCCGCTATTAATATCGCGATATTCGACCAGACTTTCTAATCGCCCGTTCCATCGAATTACCATCGTCCTTTATTCTTTCTTCTCGCGATTAATTAAACGCGCGAATTTTCATCTCTTCTCTTCCACCGGAATAAAAATGATTCGTCCAATGAATTTTCCTCACCGATTATCCTTAAAAAATCGAAAAAAGTTATCGACTCGTTACTTGATACGCTTGGAATTTCGGTATCGATTCGAGAGAGAGAGAGAGAGAGCGAAAAGATCGATGTCCATCGCCTCGAAATTACCCATCTGCCGTATGTAATTCGATGACTGGGATAGGAAGCGTGCATTGACGTCACGACGACACCTCCCCGTTCCAAATCGTTCTCGGCCGTTTCGAATCGGTGGATACGCTAGTCTCTCCGCGCCGCATTTTCGAGGCGAAAATGCGTTTGTCCCTCGCCAACTCGATCGCGCGATTCTCTTCTACTTTTCTACAAACAAAAATTCGAGAGGAATTCGAGATGAAAAGGATCGTAAAATATATTTTTATGATATCTCGCTTCGCGGCGGATTTAATTAACGTAGATTTTAGAGCAATTGTAAATTGATAATATTCAACGTGAATGGTGATAAAACAATAATATACGTAATACGATGTTTATCGAATAACTATAAACGTGGCACGATAACAACATCGGAATATATATGTAGAATAAATTTACGTATAGCGCAATGTCGTGCGTCGCGAAGTGAATTTATTTTCAATGTAATTTCAATTTTTCCGTAGAGATAAATTCTAGCGCAATTTCGATTAATTTGTTTTTCCCGTTCGAACATTTACTTTCGTTTAATCATTTTTCATCGAAGGATACTTTACACGGCTATTATCGTTTCGCGGGGAGGACGGTTGCCACGATTCCTATTCAATTTTCACGAGGCTCCTTTGAAGTTCTCGACCGGGCAAACCGCGCGCACTTTATCGCGGAAAAATGGGAATTGAAACTTGCTCTTTGTCTTTCAAATTCTCAAACTCTCGAGAAAGTTCGCGTTCCCATCGTGTAAAGTCCCGCGTTCCTTCCATTTTCCACTACGGAGAATTTCTTCATCGTTGGAAAAGACCCCCTCCCCCCCTCCTCATCTTCTCTCCTCTCTTCGATCTTACCGTTTAATCCCACCATTATCGGAACCAATCGCCAAAAATCGATCCAACCGAATTTCCTATCGAGATTGAAAATTTAAAAGGAGATTAAATCGTTAACCACCTCGACTCGACCAACAACAAATCGTCGTCCCCGATTTAACGAACTCCCGGGATCGAAAACGTCTATCCGAAAAACCGAGTGATTCGATCGAGCGAGCGGGTACACGGGAATCGAAGAGAGAAACAAGAATTTCGCGAACAACGATTGACACGCGTAGAAACGCGACGTATTTCCTTTTTTTTTTTTTTTTTTTTTTTTCCTTCCATTTTCCACTACGGAGAATTTCTTCATCGTTGGAAAAGACCCCCTCCCCCCCTCCTCATCTTCTCTCCTCTCTTCGATCTTACCGTTTAATCCCACCATTATCGGAACCAATCGCCAAAAATCGATCCAACCGAATTTCCTATCGAGATTGAAAATTTAAAAGGAGATTAAATCGTTAACCACCTCGACTCGACCAACAACAAATCGTCGTCCCCGATTTAACGAACTCCCGGGATCGAAAACGTCTATCCGAAAAACCGAGTGATTCGATCGAGCGAGCGGGTACACGGGAATCGAAGAGAGAAACAAGAATTTCGCGAACAACGATTGACACGCGTAGAAACGCGACGTATTTCCTTTTTTTTTTTTTTTTTTTTTTTATTCAACGAAAACGTTTCTCCACAATCGCCCCCTCGCCCCCGTCGAACGATTTAAAGTCGAGAGGAGGAGGGGAGGGAGAGGTCGATATTCGGAACGGAAAGCTGGTCGTGTGCTTTTAATCGAGCGCAAGGGATTTCGATATTCGCCCGATGCGATATTGGCGATCGAGCGAGCCATCCAATCGAACCGGTCACGGGCCGTCGATCGCGGCCAACGACTTGTTGATAAGTTTTATTTGTTGCTCGTCACTCTCCTTCCTTTATCCTCTGCCTTCCCCCCAATCGGTTCCACGCTCGTCCAATTAAACGTTCGCGGCCTGCTTCCCACCCGTAAACCATCGCGTCGCCATTTATCTTCCCACTTTACCCCCCGATCGTTCGATCGCGTTCGGGTTCGTTAATAAAATCCCAGATCGTAGCCTCGAGTTTTCTATTCTATCTCCATCCATGGGGGAATTGTTCGAAATAAAGTAAATTTTGACTCGCGTCTTGTTCCAACCGATAATTTTATAAAGAATAATAAACGGAGGAGTAAAATGTCCGAGTAGCGAATTGCAAATTTGTTCGGTACTCGGTTTCAAAGCAAGTGTGTCAAGAGTGTTTGCGGTATTTCGTTCGAAAGTTTTCTTTGGCCGGCGGCGGCTCGAAAATTAGCAGATGTGTAGTAGGCGTGTTTGCACAGACTCCAGAGGGGAAAAGTCGCGATGGAACACGACGCCAACTTTCAACGCACCGTTTAACCACCTCTCCACTTTTGATGGGGAACCATGCGAGACAATCTTTCCCCGATTTCGATTTTTACACACGCGTTTATCGTTTAAAGCGTGCTAGAGAATGATATCGCGATTCTAATCTCTGGAAATAAACTCGAGCAAACTACGCTATTCGATATTATTGAGTATTATACAACGTTACGTACGCGATCAAAGTTTCGTATCGAGAACTTGATACTTGGACTTTGCGCCATCTCCTAAATCTTAACCATTGTTAGAATTCTAATCTAACTCCGCTAATTATACGGTGGTAACTCGGCGGTAAGTTCGAACGCGCGATACTCGATGAATTTACCGTTGGAAGTTAATTGAAGAATAACTCGGACGATGTTTCGTTCAAGAAATTATATTAACGACACTCGATTCGATTCGGGGAAGGAGAATTAAAATATTATTATATCGATCGGCAATTATTTATATCGTACCGATTTTGCGTGAATCGTGGAAATTGTATTGTTTGTAAAATGACGTTTCGACTACATACGTGTGATATAATATGTTGCATAATGGAGCGTGAAATTAATGTACCGTATTTTGGTTGAATAAATGCGAGAATAGTTGTTATCGTTGCCGGTGGAACTTTATCTGGATCAATGCGTGGGCCGAATGCGTTTTCATTAATGATATTCGTATATTTCGTTAATTTGTTCGAGCGAGTCAAGGAAAGATAATCATTTTTCACTTTTCAATCATATTTTTCAAAACGGTACAATTTCATTTCAAACACAACAAATTGGTGGAACGATTTTTACGTTCCATTTCAATTTTTGATAAAATTTTAATTCACTCCCTCCGTTATTTCCGTCATTCTCCTTCGATTCTTTTAACAAAAGTATCGTTTCATTTCATCTGCGTTTCTTTTTCAAATTGCATTCGCTCCAATATCGAACTCCATTTTCCAACGAAATTTTATACTTTTCGAAGAATCGTTTGCAATTTTCCTCTTTAACGAATAATATACATACATGTATATATAAATTACTATAGGAAATTGCATGGAATAAAAATGGAAATATTTATCACAGGCATAACAAAAAAAAAAAAAAAAATAACGCGTTCAATCGCGCGTTACCTTTCAAAACATATCCCATTTGCCGGCTATATATCTCCCCTATTTTTATATCGTTGCGTTACCATTTCGTTGCCCGGTTTTAATTTAGCCGGTATTCTTCGAAATATCCCAAGTAAATAATTTCACGAAAGATATATCCGCCATAACTGTGGCGGCCATTTCGTATCATCCGCGGTGCAATTTCGCGAGTTGGTCGAATTACGTTTAACCATAGAGGCGGAACGCGCACGCCACGGACAGAGCGTAAAATAACGATGAAATTGCGAATAGAGCCGATATCTGCTCATCACCTGTCACCTCGCCGATCCACCCTATCGTTTCCCTCACATTTGACCAGGGATTAATATTATCCATCCACGCGTGCAACGCGCCTCCATTCCCAAATAATACCCCTATTCCCTCCAATTTGTTTCGACGCGACCAATATCCATTTATAAAATTTCTTCCTAAAAACTCCCTTTCGTCGATATTGTCCGCCAACGATCGTTCGTTCTCGTTCGATCCGGCGAAACGAGAGTTCGAAACTCGATGTAAATTATCGTTGCGCTATATAAACAATTCTTTGCAAAGTTTACAACGGCCAGGATGTTAACGAGGGAAAAGTAGAAACGAGGCGAATTTCAAACCTTTCGCGATAAATAATCGATCGTCGTTGGAATGTGACGCGTTTTCTTGTTCGAGA